CTGTGACAGCGTGGGGGGTGGGGGTCTGGCTGTGACAGCGTGGGGGGTGAGGTCTGGCTGTGACAGTGTGCGGGACAATGAGGTCCACAGTTGAGGCCGTGGACACTGGACTGCCTGGTGACTCATCAGTCCCTGGACATGACACGCCTGGCTTCCAGCAGCCCCTCGGGCATGCTGGGATGAACCCGTCCTGGTTTCCAGAAGTTCGGCCGAGCAGGGAAGTCTGCTGCTCACAGACGAGGGGCACGGGAGGGGCCTCGCCAAGCCGGTTTCACTTCCCACCGCAAGCCGAACCTGGCTGCAGGAGCTGTTCCGCCGAGCTCAGGTTTCATTTCCTCCTCTCTGGAGTCTGGAGCCACAGTCAGTGTGGGGCCCGCGGAGGACGGAGGGGAGAGGGTCCCAGCCACGTGCACACGAACCCAAGGAAGCCAACCGAAAAGTCTACTCAGAGAAAGTTCCCCAAGCTGAAAAAGGAGGGTGATCCTGTAAGACTCCCCCAAAAAACGAGGGCGCACGCGGAAGCCTCCGCCTCAGACCTTCCACGGCTGGGACCGAGCTGCTGGGGTCGGTCCGTGTTCCGCCCGCGCCATGCGGGCTGCGAGTTGTGTTGGTGTAGCACACGGCACAACGGAGGCTGCTCGTACCCCACCCCACGAAGGCATGAATTCCACAACCGACAGAGGACCCCAGCTCTGGCTCGTTCGAGACGGAAGCGCAACCCTTGTCTGCTGTGGGGTCCGTCCACGGAGGGCGCGGAGCAGGGCGGCCCAAAGCGAGCACCCCGAACCGGTTTTGTAGGTGGGCCAGCGAGGTGTGCCCTGAACGAGGGACAGGCGCCATCGCCGTGGGGGGGCCGCCCCGGTACCTGCTGAGGCTCCTTCTGCCTCCGTTCACCTGCCAGGCCTGACAATCCTATGTCCTCTCCAGTAACGCTGCCATCACCTCAATGCCCCCAGTGACCTCCCGGTTGCCATGGTCACCCCTCTACCTGCCACGGCCAGCCCCTCCTCCTCCAGGCAGCGTCGGATTCTCATTCTGCTCCGTGCGCCTGGCGCTTTGTGTTCCCGCGGGCCCCGTCAAGGGGTCGTTCCTCACGCCCCACTCCCTACCAGGCTGCAATGCCTGCTCCCTGCACCAGGGACCAGGTCACAGGGAACCAAACCCGTTCTGTCCCCCAACTCCAGGGGGCGGCAGAGAAACGTGTGAAGATGAATGAACCTCAGCTGTACACCTTGTCGACGCGGGCGGACTCGGGCACACACAGACACACCTAGCTCACCTGTGCCAAGAGGCACGAACACAAAATGGCCGGTGTGGGGTGGAAGGAGGGACCAGAAGCGGCAGAAATGCCCAGGGCGCTGAGTCACAGCTCACAGAAGTTAGGAGGTTTTTAAAAGCCTGCCTGGAGTCAGCGGAACGAGGAAGAAAAGCACAGGACGAAGTCACAAAAGTTTCTGCACAGGAGCAAAAACTAGTGACGTGTCCACAGACCAGGAGGATGGGGAGGAAGCGGAGATAGTTTCGATGATAGAAAAAACATCCAGCCCGGACTCCACGCCCGGAGACACCAGGAGAAGGACGTTCTCAAGCTTCTCCAAGGTCACGACCAGAACTTGACCAGCAGTTAAGAGTGTGGCCGCCTGCAGGGTATGGGGCTGGGGCAGAACCCGGGCTGCCCGGCACCGTGAGAGCGGGCGGCACACGCTTCCCGGTCGGCTGCTGGACCGGGCTGTCCACTGGTGCGACACCAACGTCCCCCTTTTTACTTCTCAGGACGCTAAATCCCAGCGGTGCCGGCAAAACCGAGGCTGTCCCCACCCCCAGCTCAAACACACGCGTGCGGAGGAGGAAGAGACAGCGACAGACAGATGGCGGGACCCGCGAGTGTGACGCGGAGAGACAGACCCACGTCGACGCGAAGTCAGACTCGGGGGCCGCGGCTCTCAAAATTCCCGGGTCCCAGCCCCCGCCGGGGGTCTGATGACAGCGCGGAGCTTCTGAAACAGGCGCTTGGCGCGCAGGGACCCCTCGCGTCCCCACCCCACTGGGCACGCAGAGACCCGTCCCGAGGCCCGAGGGGCACAGGGTCCTCATCGTGGTGGCTCTCGAGTCCCTGCGGCCTCACAGGTCCCACCTCCGGCTGCGTCCCCGACCCTGTCCTTGTGTTTCAGGAGCGGTGACGAGGCCGGACACCAGCCTGAAGTCTTCCCGAACCACAGCCGGGCCCCACGTGCGTCAGGAAGAGGCCGACCTCGCCGCGTCCCACGCCAGCCCAAACCCCGCCGGGCGCTCACCATCATGAGCTCCTTCTGGAAGGACTTCCGGTCCTTGCTGTCCATGTTGTTACAGTCCTCCTTCAGCTTCTCCAGGACGGACGCCACCCGCTCCGGCTCGCTGTCCAGCTCCGCCCGGCAGAAGAAGGTGAGCGGCAGGTCCCCGTAGCCCAGGGCGTCGGCGAAGGAGCGCCAGCTGCTGACATTCTCCATCAGCAGCGTCCTGACCGAGGCGTAGATGTAGGTGAGGAACTTGCAGGGTCGCAGAATCTGCTCCAGCAGCACCGAGGTGCTGAGCTCGGGCCCGGCCAGGAGGCTGGGCCTGGCCCTGCCCACCACCAGCACGTTCCTGGCGTGCACGAGGCCCACCCTGCCCTGGTAGTAGCCGATGTACCACTCCTTGGTCCACAGCTGGCCCCTGAGCCGGACCTTCTCCTCGCTGAGCAGGGCGACGGCGTCCCCTTTCTTGTACTCCAGCAGGTAGTGGTTCTTGCTCTGCCGGACCACGGTCTTCAGCAGCTTGCCGAACTTGAGGCTGGACAGCGGGCGGTCCTGAAAGGTCGGGTACTTGGTGGTGGCGGCAAACGGGGACAGGATGATTTTCCCCACCTCGTTCTTCTTGAGAAACCGTCTTGGCCCGGACGGCTTGAGGGCGCTCTTGGGGGGCGGCTGGGGAGTCTGGACGCAGAACTGGGTCAGGAGGGCGTCCTGGTCGTCTTTCACCTGGACCCGCAGGGTGAAGTCGGAGAGCTCGCCGGGGTTCTGGCAGGCGATGGGGAAGATGAGGCGGCTCACCTTGCCCAGCTTCACCTGGAAGCCTCGCACGACCTTGGCCTGCTCAGCGGCTCTGACCTCGTAGTTGGTCATGTTGGAAAACATGCACACCTGGAGGTCCTGGGGCCTGGACAGCACGAACTGGTGCTTGCCCCAGAGCTGCAGGGCCACGGGGGCAGGGCTCGGGGCCTGGCGGGTGACCTCGCTGACCAGCAGGGTCTTCGGGGCACAGTCGTGCCCAAAGACGGTCACCACTGTCTTGAAAGATGGGTGGATGTGTTTGGGGCCGTAGAGACCCACGGTGACTTTTTTATGGATGAAGTCCCACACGGTGGAAGGGTAGAGAATGTTCGGGCCGTGAGCAACCATGGCCAGGTACATACAGGGCTCCAGGTTGTCCAGATGCACCTGGACCGTGTCCCCATAGCTGCAGGTGAGTGGGACGGGGACATATGGCCCTTCCTTCAAGTCACTCCTCAGGCACTGGAGGCCCACCGTGCTTTTGCTAAAAATGTCGTTTTTCACCTCGGCCGAAACTTTCATCTCCAAGACGAGGAAGGTTCTCACCTCCAGCGTGCTCAGCTTCACCTCCAGCACCGGGCTGACGCTGCTGCACCTGTCACTGTTGAGGCCCAGGGGGGGGTCCAGCAGCGCCTTCATGGACACCTGCTGCGTTTCCCCTGCCGCCACGTGGCCCTCGGGCACGTGGATGCTGATGCTGGTGTCCGGGAGCTGCACCGAGCCCCCGGAGCTATCCAGCTTGCACACGATGTTCGTCTCCACCGCCTGCGTCTGGCCCCACCCGGGGCTCTGGCCCAGCAGGTCCAAGTCATGGCAAGACCGAGCCAGCTTCCGGTGGCTCAGCCAGGCGGCTCGGAAGTCCTCCCGGCTCTGGAATTGCTCGGGGGCCGGAGACTTCAGGCCCGTGAAGAACCCCGAAGACGCGGGCGCGTCGGAGTTGGCTTGCAGGACGGACAGTTCTGACAGACTGTAGGAACGTTTGCTCCTGAAGAACGGGTTGTCCCGCCTGGCCGGCGGCTCGGCGTGCAGCTGATGGGCGGCCGGCAGCTCGTCGAAGATGTTGCCGGTGCTGTTCGTGGTGGCCGAGCTGGACTCGGTGAAGGAGGGCGTGCCTGTGTCAAAGAGCAGCAAATCCACGGCGCTTCTGGGGGTCAGCTCGTCCACGCCGGGCACCGCCGGCACGTTCCCATTCAGAAATGGGTTCGTTTGGACCCCGTTCCAGAAAGGGTTGTTGCTGTAGGTTTTGCCCGATCCCTTCTTGTCCTCTGTCCACCCTCCGAGCAAATCCAACTCCTTGGCTACCTCGTCGGGGGCTTCGGGAAGGTTGTCGATCAGGCCGCTGTCGCTCAGCGTGGAGTTCCGGTAGTTTAGGGGCTGCACGTAGGAGGACGGGATGTAGCCCATCTCCGTGGTGTTGTGTGCGTACCACCACTCCCCGCCCGACGTGTCCAGCACGTAGAGGTGGTCGCCCTTGGAGAACTTCAGGGTGGTGAAGTTGTCTGGGCGGTAGTCCTTGATTGCGATCACTTCCTTCGCATTGCCGAAAGGCGTGGGATTGTCTCCGAGCAAGGCACTGGGAGAAGGCACTGCGCGAAACACAAAGAACAGAAGGTGAGGGCGAGGCCAGCGGGGCTGCAGGGCGCTGGCCAAAACCAGGGCGCGAGCGGTCTAAGGCGGGGGTCCCCGAGCCCCGGGCCGCAGGCCAGCACGGGTCTGGGGGCTGCAGAATAGGAGGTGAGCGGCGGGCCAGCGGTTGAAGCTCCATCTATACCCGCAGCTGCTCCCCAGAACCGGCATCACCACCTCAGCTCCACCTCACATTGTCAGATGTCAGATTCTCATAGGACCACCGGTCCCTGGTGCCACAAAGGGTGGGGACCGCCGGTCTAAGGAATAAACACCACCAGATGCAACGAGCCAGGCAAATAACTCGCAGAAACAAACCAAAGTGAAACCTGGGGTGTGATTCACCTGGGCAACAGACTGGCAGGCGACAGAGCACACGGTGGTTTCAGGACACTCGGCCACGTCTGCGTCGGACGCTCTAAGGCGGGAGGCCATGCAGGAATTCTGTCTGCCCGCCACCCACACAAACACAAAGCAGCGCGGCGGAGGGGCTGACAAGTCCCGGGGTTTACTTAACCGATGGGCAGAAACTGCTGCTAGCAGGGAGCAGAACGGGCCACCCCAAAACGTGCCGCTCTGGCCCGTGGATTATTTTGAGCCGAAGACAATAAGGCCTGAAAGACTCAGGAAAAGCTTCTTAACCTTCCCCTCCCGCTCCAGGAAAAGAACTGTCACCAGAGATGACTACAAAGAGCATGAGCCAGGTGGGGCTCCCTGTGTCCCTTTGTCCCTGCCCGCATGGCAAACATGTTTATCAAATATTTGCTCTTCCCATCTCCCTGTGAATTGTCTTCCTCTCCTTTGAAGCTCCAAACCTCTGCCTCCTCCTTCTTAGTGCAGGAAGGTTACATAAGCCTTTTTTTGCCTGACCTCCCCTGGGTCCAATGTTCTTACGTAGCCCCTGTACCAAGATGATTAAAATTTTGTTTCTCTTGTTATATGTCTTACGTCGAATTAATTATTAGACCAGCCAAAGAACCTACAAGGTCAGACAGAGGGAAAACTGTCCTCCCCTACAGCAGAAAGAGAAACCGAATGGGATCTACTGAGAAAACACAAGCTGGCGACCCACGGCACGTAACCGGGTACCGGAAGAGCTGCGAGAGCCTCTCGTGTTTACGGACTGACCCCACCTGACACACGGAAGTGCAGGCGAGGTGTCTGGGGCCCGTTTCTTCCGGTTCCAAGTCGAGCCCTTTCTTCATCAAGCTGTTTATTTGAAATAAGATTCCTGAGGTCAGTCTCTTTCGACCTCCTTGCAAGGATCGTTCAAAATAACAGAGCGGACATGGCCTCTCCCGCCCACCCTAAAAACCAAAGGTTGATGTCTGGCTGGCGTGCACAATATTTGTGAACAACCGTTTAAGCAGTCTGAAAAACTCCACCACTCTGTTTAAACGGCGACGCGAGCTTCTTATGGCTCTTGGCATTCAACTGCGAACGTCCCCAAGGCAGACGGCAGTTGGAACAGCAAAAATAAGCTGGCTCAACAAGTGGCGTGTGTTTTGAAAAATAATGGATAATCGACACACCTGAGTGTTTCGTCTCCCTCCCATTCCTGACAAAGTACACACAGAGGATGTAGTTCTTCCTGACGGACACAAGCCCATCGCCGGAAACCGCCACCCAAACGTGCCCCGTTTTACAGTTTGTCGTTATTCTGCCTTCTGGTCACGAACGACTGAAAAGAAACTTTTCTAAGCTCCCTGCGTAAAGCAAAGGACTACATGATTATGCCAACAGGCATTCTGTTCCATCAAACTTGCCCTCCAAAAAAACCTACCTGCCAGATTCCCTTTCCTTGGAAAGAAATAACGAAAATTAAATCCTATTTCCTCGGCAAAGTGTTAGGAAGTAAAGCAGGAAGTTTCTCTTTATTTACATGAACTAAACAACAGAGATGTGCTTGCTAGGGAGCACACCTGGGCCTGGAAGGCTGTCACCTATTGTCCTCTGTCTGGGACAATATGGCTCTGGGATCGCTAGACCTGGGCTTTCAATCCGGGCCCTCAGAAGCCGTGTGACCTCCGGGGCTGGAGGTTCTTCGTGATGGAGGAAAAACAACCTTCTCCCGTGGGCTCCGGGGAGGATTCTTGAAATCGGGCCCAGCAGTGCCCACTGAGCATGAAGACGCCTCGCCCTGGGCGAGGACCCACACGTGGAGCCACACAGCAGCGTCGCCACCTGCCTAACGCCTGCTTCTCCACGCGCTTAGCATCGACCAGCACATCCGGCACCTGTCGTACCTGTTCTGGTTTTTGGGGGGAGGGCTCTATCACCCCGTTAGGGTCTGTTACGCTCACAGTGGTACCCCTGGAACAGGGCCCGGCACGTAGCAGGTATTCCCGCGGTGAAGGCTCGTCCCGTAGCTTACGACAGAGACACCATAACCCACGTTATGGGGTCAAGGCGTTGGCCAACGTGAAAACTGCCCCCTGGCTGTGCCCCTCTGCTAGAAAATTCACGCCAAAGAGAAGGCATTTAACCCTGACGGGTGGAGACTGAATCGAAACAGCAAAGGAAAAGGAAGTGGCTTCGAGGAGGAGGTGGGAAAAGGGCGAAAGGTCAGGCTGGGGTCAAGGGTAGTGTTAGGCCCCCCGCGCCCACTCTGTTGTCCAGTCATGGGCTCCAGTAACATAAACCATGACCTTGACAATTCAAATGAAAACGTTGCCCGGAAACGAACACCAAATGATGATTAAAGAATGCCTGCGAGCTATTAAACTCTTAGAATCCCCCAGAAGTTCTATCCCTCTTATGTTCCCCCCCGAATAATTCCCTTAGAGTAACCTTTTCCAAATTAAAAGCCAAAGCCACTAAGCTGGCTTTGTACACGGCCTAAGACAACGTACCAGCGCAAATTATCGCTTCGGTCTTAACCAGACTGAGGAAGAAAAACGGCTTTACTCAAAATTCCAAACACTCTAGTGGCGACAGGCGTCACTCGAGGCTCGGGCTCCTGCGACGGGAAGGCGTCCTCCCCGGCGGGCCCCCTCGGAAGTGGACAGTGGCGAGAACTCCCTCCTAGAAGGGACCCTCCCACCCCCGAGAGCCAGAGAGCCTGGGGACACCACTGGGCCTTCCGCCCACTCGAATGCGGGAAACCCCACTGAATTCCACCCTCACGGATCCCGGGGAGTGCCGCTCGGGTTCAGGGCCACCTCGATTTTAATAGGGCACAGCCCCCGGGATGTCTGGAAGCTTGATGCGCCTCAGTTCTCACGTGAGCCGGCGAAATGCAAATCGGGGCGGCAGACTTCACAGCAGGTACTTTGCGGGAATATATTCCCAGCCATGCGGACTTGTGTGAGGCTGCTGGGCCACACGCTGCCCCTGGACGGTAGAGTCCAGAGGGTCTCTGTGTTGGGGCACACCGCCCCCCACCGCCCCCCACCGCCCCAACGCAGGAGCTAAGCAGCCCCTCCTCACATCCCAGCTGTCTTGTCCGTCTTCCCCAACTGTGGCATTCTTTTTAGGAATAACAGCTCCTCCCGGGCCATTATTATTATTCGTTAAAATTCAGCTCTCTGCCTCTCATTTCAAGACCCTGACCCAAACCCCGCAATTTCCCAGCATTAACTATGATTAGCTGGGCTAAAGTAAGAAAATAATGCCCATTATCGGTCTATGAAAAGTAAATTGTTTAATTACATATAGCAACACCCAAGAACTGTGGTTCTCTTATTAATAAAGTCTTGGGGCCCCCTCTTTTTAGGAGCGTTTCAGGCGATGCTCTGGGCCGCCAGCATCAAGCACAGAGATGGGGGGCGGGAGGGAGGAAGACAGGAGAGAGCAGACACAGAATCGCGCACACACGGCGCCGGTACCTCGGGGGGAGGGCCACGATTTTCGCAGAGAGGCAGCAGTTCATTCCAAGAGTTTCTCAACCCCCGTTGTGTCAGGGGTTCCAGATAGGAAAGCAAAGATAAGGCACAATGGGAGATTTCCACAGAGGGCTGAAAACGCTGCGGGAACGGGAATTCGTGATGATGATGGCGCTGACGACGGTGGGTGGGGCACGGGGCACCAGGGGAGCGCACAGAGGACACTGGCCTAGTGAGGTCTGGGGGCTTCTAGGAAAAAGATGGATGGCCCGCTGGCATCGACCTAGTGTCTAAAACATAGGTTTTCTCATCAACCTAGTCTTTTGTGGGTATGAGAGGAACCCAGAGGCACAGGGGTCACCTCTAAACCAGGTGTTGGCCATCTACGGCCCCCGGGCTATTTTTATAAATAAAGTTTTATTGGAACACAGCCATGTCCATTTGTTTACTCTTCTACGACTGTCTTCGAACCACAATGGTGGAGCTGAATAATCGTGACAGACGTTATATCCTGCGAGGCTTAAAATATTTCCCATACGACCCTCTGCAGAAAAGCTCGCTGGCCCCCTCTGCGACAACCCGTTGCTTCTCTAGCTTCTCAATGATTCACTCACAGTCCTGTCCCCTAGTTTTCTGTGCCACCAAGCTCCCTACCTCAGTGTCACCCAAACTCATGGAAAGAGAAAACAAACAATACTCCATATGAAAAAGTTTCATTACGAAATGAAAAACTGAAAACATTCTCCTAACGCACCAACCCCTCCTCCCGCATCAAGCGGTTACAGTCCCAGGGCTGAATTTATAAAGGGACGAGGTTTCGAGAGCTAAACGTTAACTATTTGAACGTGACCTTGGCAGGCTGGAGGTAGAAAGCCCTGGGCTCTCAGAGTGCGCGTGAGCCCGACCTTGTCCCTCGGCCACAGCCCTGTCCCCAGGAGCTCACCTTTGACATCGTTAAAGCTCGCTTCTGAGAATCCGTCGCTCAGGTCAATGAGGGTCCCCTCGGACCTGCACCGGGGGAGGCCGCTGGAGTTGGCTGCTCGGATCCGCTGAGCCGCCATCATGAAACTCCCTTCTGGGGCGACCTGCTAGGGTCTCATGTTTCTTCCTCCAGGTCGTCCAGCACCTGCTGCCGCGTCCACCTCAAGCAGCCACTGTGCCCTGGTGCAGCCACTGTGCAGTGTGCTTCTTCCTGAGGCAGAGAAACGGGGTTGCGGGGAAGAGAAGAGTTTCCTTTGAGCAAGTGAATCGGGGGTTCCATGGTCATTCTGTGGGAAGCGGGAATCCTCTCGTGGACAGACCCAGGTCACTTTTCCCGGCCCGGGGACGCAGAGCCGCTGGCCCCCAGGCTCTGCGCCCCTCTCCCGCCCGCCTCCTCGGCCCTCCTGGCACGTGTGGCCTGAGCGCCGTTTTCCCGGCCTCTTCCTGGGGCACAGCGGCGTTCGTGACGTGTGTCCCAACACCTGGTTGCCATCCGTCCCAGTTAGAGAGGACGACACAGGATCTGTGCAGCTGACTCCGCTCGTCCCAGGGTCCAGGAAAGGAGAGGAAATAAATCCCCATCTGCCTGGACAGTGGCTGGTCCCACTGCAGGGACAGCCACGGCTGTGAGTCTATGACTCTGGCCCCAGAGCAGGCCACGCCCAGCACAGCGCCTCTCACGGGGCACGCTCCCTGACCACACCCCCTGAAGTCCCCTCTGGACCCCAATAAACAAACGATCATAAACAAAACACAGGGGTGGCCATCTGTACATACACGCGTCGTGGCTGCGGGCCAGCCGCCTGGCGAGCAGCCCAGGCCTGCCCCACGCTCTGCGGTCCTGGGGGTCTAGTCTTTGATAGTTAGCTGTGCAAAGCCTCAGTTTTCCTATCTGCGGCTTGGGGCATTAAGAACGATGTCCTGACTTGGACTGTGAGAAGAATCAATAAGATAATCCACGTGAGGTGCCTGAGATGAGGAGCAGGGGCTGGGTGGCCGCTGTCCCCGTCACTGGGACATCAGCAGACCTGGTCCTGGCGAGAGGCTCACTCTGCCCTGGAGACTCTGGGAAGCCACAGAAGGTTCCCGCCTGAGGAAGAGGGCTGTGGCTGCACATGAGAAAAATGTCGTTGTCTCTAAACACCACAGGTGCACCGCGGGCTGCCGAGGGCGTCGCCGCTGCGGTGGGGTGCCGGTGGACGTGGCAGAGAGGAGCCCCACCTTCCTCCCAGCCCCGCACCGGTGGCCACGTCCTCAGCAGATGACGTACTGCCGTCCGCTGGGACTGACTTCACCGGGGGCCGGGCGCACAGGCCAACAGCGCCCCTGAGCACCCACGGGACACTGACGCCGCCTTCAAGAAGCACCTAGAAAGATGTGCAGGTCGCAGGTGAAGACGGAAACGCTGCAGAGTGACCGTTTTCCTGCTGTCCCCACCACTATGAGAAAGCAGCCGGGCCGGGAGAGATAAGCCACGAACGGTGGCCCTCGCCACTTCATCGGCCGGAGCAAAGCCCAGGCATTGGAGTCTGATGCCTCGGGGACCAGAAGCGTCGCCTTCACATTGAGCATCGATGCATTCAGTCACGCTTGGGACAGGGGACAGCCCCCCGGTGTTCGGTGCCCTGTGTGAAACCCAACAAGCCACCTTCTTCTCCAGGGCCAGTGGGAGAAGGTCCCTAACGGAGCCCTGACACCCAGCAGCACCTTGGCGGTCAGTGCAGGGAGCCAGTGCCCCTTGAGGATGTTATTTTACTGCAAAGAAAGCAGGGGGCCGGCCCCGCTGCAACAAGCCTGGTGTGCTCGCTCCTCCTGGCACCCCGAGACGTGTACAGCCAGGTGAGGGTTCAGAGAGAAGCTCTGCACCTCTGTGAGCCCCAGGGGCAGGCGGGGAGACTCCTGGAGTCACCTGCCCAGGTGAGACTCCGGGACGTGGTGCACTGCTCTCCCCTGCTGACCCCTTCTTTCCAAACACCACCATGCATGGGCTCCTTGCCGACGGCCTGGGACCCTGATGCCCCCACAGTGCATTCCATTCTGGCCTGAAGGCAAGGAGCCCACGGCAAGGGACCACGCAGTCGGGTCCCTCCGCAGCTCAAAACCCTCAGGGTGTTGCCGGCTGCTTGTGAACCAGTGGCATTTCCCCGCCTTCCCGTCCAGGCGCTCAGAGCTCCCCTCCGATCCTCCAGGGTCATCGTGCCCCTTCCTGAGCGAATCAGCGACCACACTCACCCGCGGATGCTGCCCAAGGGCGCCCAGCGCTGTTCCGCCTCTGCTCCAGGGAACCTGTGCCTCCAGCAACACCTTCCCTCTCTCTGCCCTCTTCCCCACAGCCCTGCAACCCTGAGTGACTCAGGTGCTGGCCTCAGAAGTGCAGTCAGTGTCCCGGAGCTTCAAATCCAAGCCTAATGAGCTCAAGACCACGCCCTGCGAATGGGTCCTTGCTTTACACGGAGGGAATGAAAGCTAGGGGAAATGAGACGATGGTCGGATTTGCTTTAAAGGGGTTCGCGAAGGTTCCTTATACCGTGTTTTACTACACGCTACGCTATTACTACAAACATATTTACATATAAATATAAATGTATTACTATATTTACTATACATTATGCTTTTTTTTCCTCTTCATTTTTCACTGTTTTCCTATTTCGTCATCTGTTTTTATTATTTATTGTCTTATTTTAGGAAGTAATGTTAGGCAACATTTATCACCTGCCTTCCCAGACGTGTGTCAGGAAGTGTGTGTGTGTGTGTGTGTGCGCGTGTGCGTGTGTGTGTGTCTCCTTGACAAGGAAAAACTCTTAAGGAGCCATAATCGCTTCTTGACAAGGAAAAACTCTTAAGGAGCCATAATTGGAGAGACCCAGCAGTCTGAGCCCCACAGCACACGTGGGTGTGCTGGGTCCCGCTCAGCTGATAAGCAATCCCCGAATCTTATGCTTAGGTCACCGAGGGCCCCACTTCAGGATCGATGGGTGTCTGGACCCCCCAAGTCCAAACCCAACTCTGGGGTTTGCACCAAACCTCCTACCCTGACTTCCATCTCAGTCAATGGTTGAGCGGGTCCTTCCACCAGCAAAAAGCAGCCCGAGGCCCCGCCCGCCGCTGTGGGGCACGCGCACCCCCACCCAGCCCGGCTCCGCCTTCAGGCCGCACCTAGCACATCACTCCGCCCACTGTCACCTCGCAGTCACAGCATCGGCTCCAGCCTACCAGGCGCTGTGCCCAACTCTGCCCCTTAGCCCCATCCATCCTGCAGCTAGCGGCCAGTCGTTTCTGAAAGCCAGGAGGACTCTGAGCGCTCAGCGTGCTGGCCGCGGCCTCCGGGCCTGCATGTTGGGTCCAGGCCAGCTCTGGTCCCCTCTCCCGCGCTCTCTCCCCCCTGCCCGGGGCCACTGCACGCGCTGTTTCCACAGCCTGAGAAGCCCCTGCCTCGTCCCCAGAACTGACCCCTCACTGCCTCCAGGTCTCTGCTCAGATATCACCGAATCAGCAGGGGACAGGGGTCTGCAGTAGCAGCATCCCCCACCCCATTTCCCCATCACCACCAGGCTGTGAGCTCGGAGGCCATGGGACTCGGTGTTTCTGTCCCCAGCATCGTGACAGAGCTGTCAGGGCAGGCTCCCGCACGCGAGCGAATGAATGAATTCTATTCTATTCTACTTATTTATTTTTAATATGATCTGCATCCTTCCATTTTTTATGGTTCATTATAATTTCTCTGCAGCCATTTATCCAAAGTGTGTCTGGTGTATGTGAGCAAGCAAGCAAGCAAGCAATACAGTGAGTGGACAAACAAGCTACACTGTCACTCAGAAATAATTCTGGATCTGAGGATATCAGAGCTGTAACCTGTTCCGAGTGGTGTGTGAGAAACGTTCCATAGATATTAAGTAAATGAGAAGACCAGCAGTCTGCCCTGTCTGCCTGATTTTTAGCATCCTTACTTTTCCTTTTGGGTCACGAATAAGACTTTGGGGACCCCAAATGGCTAAAGATGCAGAGGTCCCCCGGAAGCCGTCAGGGACCCGCCTGTCTGGCATGCAGGCCCCCTAGCCAGCTCGAGGTGGGCGGCTGGCCTGGGGTGACAGGTGTCCTTTAGCCACGGGAAATGCATCTGACGCCTGCGCTGTTCAATGCAGAGACTGCCCGTGTCGAGGGAAGCGTGAGCCCCTTGGGCTGGGGAGCAGGACGCAGCTGGCTGGCAGGGTTTGACTCTGGGACAGCTTTCTCTGCCGAGGTCACCAGGCGGTTCCCAGAGAGGCCTGAGAAGGAAGCTCTGACTCCCCCAGTCCTGGGGCTTCGCCACCTGTGCAGAAACCGAGGAGGAAAGGGGCCAGACTGGCTTCTGGGGACATCAGATCCGGGATTCTGTAAGGTTCCGGCGACTCTCGCGGTAGACAAAGTCTATTTTGCTGAGCTATGTAGGATCAGGCAAGATCCTTTAAAACTCTATTACGTACACTTATTTTTCACCTTTACCCAAGAAAAAGTCAAATTTGACAGAAAGGAAAAGTTGAAATGTTTGCGATCTTTCAGGGAGCCTGCGTCCTCGGTCCAGGGAGGGCCATGGGTGGAGGTCACCATGCTGTCAGACACCGATGTCAGCAGCCCCCAAGGCCGCATATACCGCCAAACGCTCAGCGGTGAGTTTGACCAACTTTCAAAAGGCAAGCGGATCAGGAGATTTAGCTGCAGAGACGCAGTTTAATCCTCAAGCGATGCCCCAACCACTCTTCCAAGGGTGGCGAAGGGACACAGGGGTCTCTGCAGCTGGCGAACGCGCCAGAAGGTGACAGCTCTGACACGACGCAGTATGTACAATTTCAGGGAAAACTGTTCATGGAGATGGAAATTCGGGCCGGGAGGTCTGAAGAGATGGATGGGATTTAGAACGTCGCCGTAATAAAGACGATAATTAACAAAATCCTCACTGTCCAGTTAAATAATCGGGTCTAAAAATCCAGACATTTCCATGAGTCCATATATTTGCCCAATTGATTTGAATGCTCGTCTAAGTCTTTCCATTTTGGGAGGAGGCATTTTGCGTAGTATAGATCTGTCTCACAGCACGTGGCTTACAGTGGACAAATGCTGGCCATCCACTGGACCAAGCGTGTTTCACACGCGGCCCTGCACCCTAACCACAACCACATCAGGGGTAGGTATCTTTTTTTTTTTTGGCCAGGAGGAAGGTGCTCAGGCCAGGTG